CATATCTTCTCAAGATATTCCTTTTTGGCCCTGTCCGTGGCTCTTTTCAATTCATTCCTCAGTCTCCTGTATTTCCTCCTGCCTTCTTCATTGTTGACATTCTTCCATTTCCTTCGCTCCTCCATTTTACTCATCATCTCCTGTGTAACCCATGGTTTTCTTGCTATCTTCTCAACTTTACCTACCAAATCACTGATAGTATCTAACATGCATTCTTTTATATCGTTCCACTGCGCTTCAGCATTTCCGCTTTCACCTTCAATTGCACCGAGTTTCTCTTCTAGAGTCTCTTGCACGCTTTGTCTTTGAGCATATAAGTTCTCCAAATCCCATCTAAGTCTGCGCTTTTGAAATCCTATAATTTTCTTCAACCTGGTTCGGAACTTGGCAACCAGCAAGTTGTGGTCAGAGTCAATGTCTGCCCCAGGAAGCGTCTTCACATCCTTCACACTGTTTCTGAATCGATGTTTCACAAGGATGTAGTCCAGCTGATGCCTCTTCCAATCCCCAGGTGCCTTCCATGTGTAAATTCTTCTCTTTGGCTTCTTGAACCAAGTGTTGGTAACAATCAATCCATTTCGTTCACAAAAGTCAATAAGCATTTGACCCCTGTGATTCCGTCTTCCTAGTCCATGTGATCCAACAATATTCTGATATGGTTCATCTCCAACAATGCTATTCCAGTCTCCCAATATGATGCTGTTTGTGTCACCCCTTCCATCTTCCTGAAGAATTTCTTCAGTTGTGTCATACACTTTTTCCACTTCATCATCTTCATACTCTGATGTTGGCATGTACACTTGCATAATCAGTATATCTACTGGTTCCGCCTTTAACTTCAGAGCAATAATTCTGTCATACACAATATGTATGAGAAATATTGCGATTGTGAGATATATCGATCTCGATATTTCGATGGATTTGTATGTTTTCAGCCCCCTTGAATATGAAAAAGCAGGTTTCGGCCGAAATATTTACACAGCATGTACTTGTGTAATCATCAACCAACAGTGGGCCACTGAGGACCACTCGTAAGTGACAAAGCATTTGCAGTGTCATTGCACTATTTTTGTAACAGTGTAAACTGCACTATCTTCCATGATATCAGATACTTCTAAGTTGATAGTGTGGACAGCATATAGTACCAAGAGTGCTTCCAGCCAGTTCTTCATTAAGGTAATTTGTAGCCGCGTTTGGATTCCTCCCATCAGAGCGGCTCTTCCGTTCCCCCCAGTCCATCCACTGGTCTGTCTGTACATAAGGGAACTCCGTAATTTGCACGTATGAAACAACTGTAGTTTGATATTCAAGGATTTTACGAAACATTGAGATATTTCGGTTTTAATTTAGATCGGACAGGTTTAATGAACGCTTTACACAGAGAGAAAAATGTTTTGAATGAATGTTGAAAAGAAAACTAAGCACACATATACAGTACTTTCTTCATGAGTCATGAGGTTTTCTAAGTAATTAAGATTGACTCTGAGCATAAATTCCCGAATTTGCATGTGCAACAATCAACAATGGCCTCCTGAACATAGAATAAAGAAAAGAAAAACAGAAGACAGTCTTGATTATGATTGCATTTGATTTTATTTTAGTGTGTGTAATAACAGACTGCCTCAGTAGTCTAGTGGTCAGAGTTCTTGCCTACAGATCCAGAGGTCCTGGGCTCGATTCCCGCCACTGCCAGATTTTCTGAGTAATAGTGGGTCTGGAACGGTGTCCACTCAGCCTCGTTAAGATAATTGATAAGCTATTTCAAATAAATAGCGGCTCCGGTCTACAAAACCGATATTAACGGCCGTGGGGATCCATTACGCTGACCATGTGACACCCACTATCTGCAAAAATTGGCACTAACTTCGCCGACAAGTGGCGCTCGCTCGGCCAGTATAGTTCGCTTGTGGACTACAGGCCACAGAGTGTGTAATAGCAGTGAATAGTGGAATTTTAATGTTGGCTGCACGTGTAGTTTTCACGTATTGTCCATTTGAGTAACCACGAACTGAAAGTGGATACTTACATGTGAATTTAATGTTTATTTACAGTAAGGCAACACTTCAGCATAGCCCTACACACTTCATTTATAATTACTTCTTTTGAACGCCCCTGGTATGTGCACACAATCTTGTTTTATGTTTCCAGAATTCTCGAACACAGCTAAATCAGTTTTACTGTCCATTTTTCTATCTATTCTCAATATGACCCAGCCCATAAATGTCTGTTTTCATAGTTTTACTTTTTTCTGTGCTATCAAGTGAAGTTCTTTTTTGGTCATATTCAGCACCGATAAACAGAGTTGTCAGCCAAAGAAAGCTCCATCAAGAGTCTATTTTTGCTAAGCCCAGGGATCTTGTCCTAGCTCAAGTGGTTGGTTGTTGCCTTCTCATCCCAAAGGCATGTTTCAATCCGAGGATAGTCCGTGTTCAATTCGTAATGATCGAAGAGGCACTGGGGCAGGTTTCTCTCTAAATACTTTGGTTTTCCCCTTTTAGTTATCATTTCACCAGTGCTTCATACTCATGTGTCCTCAGAGGCTGATACACCATACTAAGTGAACCTGAGTTACACCCCACTTATACGAATAACTAAATTGTTAACTGCTAGTGTCCAGCACTTTTCATTAGCTGACAGCCAAGCATACTGGGTCAAGTGGGTAACGCTTCTGACCTGTATTTTCGAGGTGCCCAGTTCGAATCTCGGTTTGGACATCAGCTATCATGATTGAGGTTTCTTGTGGTTTTCCTTAGTCCCTCCAGGAAAATCCCTGTCACATTTTTTTAAAATTATTATAGTTATTCAGTCATTCAACAGTTTTTGGTCTGAGTTACTCTCAGCATCTTTAAATAAACAACAAACACAAATAATTATCTTATGAACCTTATTGTAACATTCTTCTTATGCAGGTAGGAACAGCGGTTTGTAAACTGTTTGTCAGCTTCACAGCGGCATGAAGGGTCTAATCCAGGATTATTTTTTGTTGAACCCTGATCTCAAAGATGAGGAAAAGGATGAAGACGTTGTGTGAATAATTTTGTAAAGTTGTCATTAATAATTTTGTTTTAAATTACAGTTAATTTTTTGAAAGCTAAATGAAGACATTGGTGGCTGGCATAATGAGGTAGATTCGGTATCAGTTGGTCTTCACAAGACAACAAGCTCTTCTTTTCTTTATCCTAATTTGTTGTCCTAAGAGACAGTGTTCATTTACACTATTATATGTAGCAAAATTGGGATCAGAGTTTCAGTAACTTCCTGGATACGTGGTATTTTCAATATGGATCTATATGCCTAAAGTCATAAACGTTCATTAATTAACAAAGGCGTTATAATCGTGAAATTCATTCATCTAACTTTATGAGGCTGACTCCTTGAGAAACTGGTAGTCACTCAACTAGTCAATAAATTCACCATCTCCTATGGAACATAAAGGTTCATTACTGTGTTCACAAGAGCCCGCCACTGGTCCCTGCCCTAAATCAATCAAATCTAGCCCATACCTTTATACCTTATTTCTTGAAGATACATTTTAGTGATATCCTCCCATAACTGCATCTTCAAAAACGTGTTGTCCCTTCATATTTTCCAACCAAAATTCTGAACACATTTCAGCTTGCTCCATATTATGCCATATGCGCCACCCATCTCATCCTCCTTCATTTGATCATCCTAATAATGTTTGATGAAAAGTAAATTGTGCAAGTTTATCCACCTCTTAGCATTACATTACATTACATTGCGTTGCATTCCATGGATCCAAAGTTAGTCAAAATGACTGTAGGATGTGGAATAGGTCATATAAATATAAAACATATGTATAGTCCCAATGGAGTTCTCACACAGGAGAAACAAAGAATACACAGTGACTACACACAAGGCTATTTAAAGATACATAAGTTATTTTCTAGACAATAGGTATTCATCAACAAAGTAGAATGAATGTCTATTTAAGTATCATTTCAGTGCTATTTTAAATCATGCCTTTTCATTCATAAGACCTTCGAGAGCAGATGGCAGGTTATTAAAAATTTTGATCCCAGCATAATATGCGCTTTTCTGAAAGCATGAGAGGTTAGCAGTTGGTTTATGAAGACAGTGTTTGTGTCTTATGTTAACACTGTGTATGTCCACATATATTACCCTCAGCACCCTGCTCTTCAGTACCTGCCATGGTTAAAATTATATTTTTGTACATTTTAGTATAACCATTTACATTTTTAAGTTGTAGATGGAAATACAGAAGATTTTCAACTGAGTGGTAGCAGCAATTGTACGAATTTAACCTGCCTTCAACTTTTTCACTGACAGCAAACCATCTTTGTTCAAGACTGTTGTTATTTGAAGTAGGGCTCTGAAGTTTTGTTTCGTGATAGACAAATATGCAATTTTAAGCTCATGCCATGCATAAAAACAAACTCACTGTAATGTTTAGTTATGTGTGAAGAAACAAAGAGACACACAAAAGAGATTTTGTATTTATTTCTACTGATTTATACTTTGCTGCTTATACAGTCTTTTAAGAACCTTGTCCTTCTTCACAACAGATGCCAATTTATCTCCATTATATGCCATTTTTTTCCTCCCCATTTCTTCATCTTCAGCTCTAATAAATCGTTGTGTGCATCTTCCAGCCATCTCAGTTTTGGCCTCTCCAATTTTTTCTGCCTTCCATCTTACTTTCAAAAATTGCCTTGTTTAATCCATTGTAATGACATGTCCCAACCACTCCAGTTTTATCCATTTAATATTCACTGCCACATCGAGTGTTTTATATAATCTGTTTAAGTTTCTCATTGGCCATGGTTCCCCAGATTCCTTGCCCGGTTACCGGATCACATACCTTCCTCAAAAATCTTCATCTCCCATATACTTAACATTCTCAGTCACAGAACATGTTTCACATCCATAAATCACAACTGGTTTTAACATTATTTCATATTTTTAACCCTTTAATATATTTACTATCACCTGATATTTCCCCATATTTCTTGTTGCAGTGAAAAAGGCGTTCTTGTTGCTCTTTTGTGAAGCCTGGTTGCCGGCGTGGTGCAACTCGCCACGGTACCTCGTGTGACGTATCCGTGGTTTTTATGAGTGCCGCTTCACACTGTTAGCACCACCAGCAAGGTGTTAAGGTGATAGAAATGTTAATGATGATGGTGCTTTAATGGTCTCCCTACTGGCTTCTGCTCACCGTGTGAGAGCGAGTGAGGCAGGGGGCCCAGAAGCAGACAACAAGTCCAGTAACACTGCTGCCCCCTCTTGCATCTGATGCTGCATAAGTCTGTCAGTCAGTGCATGCTCAGAGGAATATACGACATGAAGACTACGAAATAAATATTGTTCTTGCCATAAAGTTTTTATTACCATTGATTAGTACTATTATTTTATAAATATAGACGTTTGGCGTCTATAGGTGCATATCGAGACAGAGGGTGATGAGCCGGCAGTGCGTCTTTCTTAGGTATGAGTAGCTGAGGGTATTTTATCAAACAGTCCGATTGCAAGTTATCAGAATATTTGCTCCATCTTCCTACACCTCATCCGATCCACCCTCTTCCTCGGACATTATACACAACAAGTCTTGTGGCTTACCTCCTCCATCAAGTTCTCTCTTATCCAATAACCAACACTGAATAACCCAAAAATCATGGTATGTTAGGTAAAAACATGAAAAAAGGAAGGTACATGAATACATGGCCCCTTGATAACAATTTTCTTTGTCTTTCTGTCTTTCATGTTCCAGTTTCTTAGTCTTTCTCTCTCTCTCATTCTCTGACTTGACACATTGTAGTTACTTTACTCCACGTTGCCACATCTCCTCACTTTAATAAGGCCAGAATCTTGTTGTATTAAAGAGTGAAATCTGGCAACCACGTCCTATATAAAGACATGAATAATTCATAGAGGTTTTCCATTTAGATATGTTATCAGCCCTATCAGTAAGTAGAAGTAATTTAGGATTTCCTTGAAGCAAATCTGATTTGACAAAAAAGAAAAGATAACGTAAATAAAGGAAACAGCTTTTCTTCAGGTTAATGAGTCATATAATTACTTTTAAGAGAAACCATAAATCGATATAAAGTCTAAATAGGTTTCGAAATAAGTAACTAATTAAGCAACGCAACTCAAAGCCTTCCATATAATAGCTTGTTACCATTTCTCTCGTCTCTACTAGTATATAGAAGGAAGGACATGCCATTCTACAGAGAAGCTACTAGTTATAATAATACTAATAATACAAAAGAAATTACTCTAACTAATACTCCAGAACGTTAAAACTGCTACCAAGCTGTAGGCCAAAGCAAGTCCGTAGTAACTTATAGCTGTATTTATACCTCCAGTGTTTTCCAGATACCTTCTCTGCGCACACGCATACGTACATCTGTTGCGCCATTGAGTAATGGAAAACTTGCAGAAGAATATATGAAGTAGCACAAGTGTAGATGAATTTAAAAAAAAAATAAAATGAAACCAAACTGTCGCCAGACTCGAGTTGTTGAAGATGTTAGCCTACTCGCTCATTGATTCATTCCGCTGTTGGTCGGTCGAGCGTCCGGCTGCGTCTGTTGCTTGAAGGGAGACCGCTCGCTAACATTTCAATAGAGAAATAAACTACAGTTGTCATTGTTGCATGCATGATGAAGCGCGTATGCCAGCGTTTGAGGTTATTCAAGGGGAGTTCTTTTTAATGCCCCCGGTGATATTTATTAATAATAGTTTGAACGAGTGGAGCTATTACTAAGTAAAATAATAATAATATAATAATAATTATACAACATTACGAGGATATTTGATCGCTCACACGGAGACAGTACTATACATAATAAAACACGTAGGCTAATGTATTGAGAAACCATTGTGTACGTTATTATGTAATAACTGAAGATCATCATTTCTTGTTGAATACTTGATTGTGAACAAACTAGTTCCAAACCGAGCACTGTTTTAAGTGCTTTTAATTTTGGGCTGTGTGGAAGCGAAGTAGGGTTGGATTTGGCTTCTTGCCTAGCTCCAAATTTTACCACTTATGGCGATTCAGATCCATTCCTCAGACAAAAGGGTTTCTGTCCATTTTTTCCCCCTACCTTGACCCCTCTCTGACCCTGTTACATTCAAGTACCCATCCTCTCCTGTGTAGTGCCATTGTGAATCAACTCGCTGCATTGCTCTGCTACTGTTGCTTGTAGCGTAACATGCAGACCATTGATAGCAATTCGGACTACAGCATATATACTCTACATTAATACATATCCATACCGCTTTTACTGCTCTGTGTGTATGTGTGTGTACATGGCACTTCTGCAGTGCATGATGCCTTAGTGGCATGCAAGAGTGCATGATATCATGCACAAGAAATATAACAGGTTGTGAATGTTTTAGAGGAAAGTGCAATTGATGACAGGAGAAGAGAATTCGTGCGACCGAGTCACTCAAAAAGCTGTCCAAAGTGGATATAGCACGTCCATCATCAACGCTGTCGAATAGTGCCAGCCCCAACAACGGTCAGGCACAAAGGTTGAACGTGCTGTTGTATTATTTATATCTATTTTTTGAATCGTTAATTTTTAAATAGGCTGATCGCAATATAAGTCTGATCATGACCTTAAAATAAGTAACATTAGCTTAGGGAAAAATGGCACTAGTCATGTTTGTTACAATTTGAAAAATTTTATATATGTGTTGATTAATATTTACAACATTCCTCTAATGTAAGCAGAATAAGTTATGTGCATGATCCTACATTACTGTTAATGGCATGCAGAAGTGGATCAGGCAGAAGGCAGCAAACAAACATAATCAAAAACAGTTACTGTGATTAATACTAGAGGCAGCACTGTGTGACTTAATTGGCCAATCTTGAAGTTGAGTAACTTGCAAGGAAAGACAAATGATCATTCCAGAAGAGATGTGAGATGTATATATATATATGTATGAATTATGATTGTCTCTGCTATTTGTCACTGTAACTGTATACTGAATCATGTATGCCAACACTATAGTAAAAAATTAACTTTACAGCCCATGGACATACTGTTTCCATAAATAGTCTATGCTCAGTAGAACTGAGAATACTTCATATAGCCTTTCTTCATGTGTTTACAGATGGCCAACATATCCTCAGTAAACTCATGAAGACCTGCACTGTTACAAACCGTCACATTCTCTACAATTAATAAGGATGAAACATGACAATGAAGTGCTATGCTAGAAAAGAATGGCACTGTTGTATCAGGAGATTAAATGTTTGGGTCTTCTTCTTTCTGTTATGGAAAGAATGCTGTTGGTTGGTTCAAGGCTATTTAACTCTTAAAATTATCCTTTGCTTTTCAACATTCTGTGAGTGACACCATATTTACAGAGAACTGATTTAATAAATACAAAATTCCTCCACATAATATAAGGAGTGTGTTATTAAAAATTTGCCCATATCACTATATTTCAAAATGCAAACCCAGTTTTTCTGTTGATTCCTGTGTTATAAATGGAGGCTGACCATGCCACAGCCTAGGCAACTAATCACCAGCTTCCTACTGTGGTGGCCCAGGCTTGATCCCAGGTCATGTAATGTATGATTTGTGGTGGACAAAGTGGCACTGGGGAAAGGTTTCTATGAGTACTGCAGTTTCCCCTGCCAATTCTCATTCCACCTACTGCTCCACACTCATCATCATCTATCACCCAGGGCTGATACAGTAGGCCTTGCTGACATACCGAATGAACTCACTATAACCTCACCCCAGGAAATTAAAAAATGATATACATAAATGGAGATGCATTACAATGGTAATACGTCATGTCCATGTTTATAAAAAGACACCCTTCTTTCTCCATCAGAAATAATAGATGGCTTACAGGTGTGCAGTTTCTTGGCAAATAACCTCTGAAAGAGTTCAATTTAGGCTGAATTTGTTGCTATTTTACATTTTGTTCTTAAAAGTGTAATATTCATACCAAATTCATGTAAGGGTGACTTTTATGCTCATGTTTCATAAGTTCATAAGGGTAAAATTCTGTAACCAGAACATCTGTACTGGAAGCATTCACTGCATTATTTTGCTCTAGAACACCCTGGGTAACACCACACTTTGAGACATCTGTGGTAATGAGTGCAAAGGCAATATTGAAAGCCATGTCTGATAAGTTAAAATTCCATCATTAACTTGTATGGAAACTGCACTGAACTGAAATCTTACATGTATTACTTTATTTCAAAAGTAAGGTTGAATTTGGCCCCCTTCTGGACCCTCTCTACCCTGCTGATGGGGCAGCATGTAACAAGTAGCATTGCAATTCTTCTTGCCCCGCCCCCCACCCCCACTCCCAAAACTACATATATCCAGATTGTGGTCTTTTGAGTTGTGACACAGTGCATCCTTATACATGGATACCAACATTAAGGAGGACTGTGATGCTCTCCTTCTTCAGGCTCAAAGCACATGGAGTGCCTCCAAAATGTTGGTATCCATGTATAAGGATACACTGTGTCACAACCCAGAAGACTGTGATATGAGAGTAGTCACCACTGTAAACACATCCTTATAACTAAATATATCTCATTTGCCACTCAGATTTGATGCAGTATATTGAGGTCTCAGAAAGAAGCCCCATGGATAGTGGAGATTATTATTATTATTCAGGCTTCCCCCTCTCTTCTGTTGTATTCCTCTCCATTACCCCCTGTCATATAACAGCCAGTCTGAAGCACCTGCTACTAGCATACAACCTGTGGTTATTTGTATGCAGAGAATGGTAAAATGCCAGGAGAGTAAAGGGAAATACACTACAGGGGAAGCATAACAGCCTGAGGGTGATGAAGCGGGGATAAATCCATGGGACTTTCTTGCTGAGGCATGAGTATAGCAAGAGCTCACTATCACAATATTCCTGAGCTCATAATAAGATGCAATGTATATATTACAGATTAAAAGTTTATATTTAGACTCTTTAATACTTTTAATAAGTATTTTAAAAATATAATTACAATGAATTTTAAGTCAGAGGAACCTAAACAGCATTAAGCACACTCCAAATCAAATTACTCTGAACTGTAAACAGTTCTGATCTCAGTGAATGGTGGGTGCCATTTTTTTTAAAATCCCACATGATATATAAGTGTTCCAGTAGATAAATTGCCATATATTGACTCCTTACTGTATGTTGTGGGCTTATATAATATGTTGGGGCAGAGCTGCTGCTGTTGTTAATTTGAGATTAATATAAATATTTGTGGGCTCAAGACATGTTGATGTCATTTATCTGTTTATTGTTTCTGTATGTGTTGGCATACGGAAGTGAAAGTTAAACTAAGGTAAGAAATTTATTAATTGAACTCTCAATTAAATGTCTTGAATTGAATTCTTACTAATAATATTTATCATAACATTAATGATAAAAACAGTGTGGCATACTTACATATTGAAGTTCCTCATTTTTCTCACACTCTGCCATAGATATGGCTAAGCAAATGTTGAATCAAGCTCACAAGAAATGGGAATGTGTCAGCAAGTCTGGCAGAGCAATAACAGAATTAAATTTGTATCTCATTAGTTATCAGAAAATACCATTGTTCTGATGTTTTGTTGTTTTGCAGTAAGTTTTAATTATTTTGCAGTCAATTTTCAGTACACAGAAACCCTTACCCTTCTCAGGTATATAATTCAGCTGGACATACCTGTTCGAAGGAGGTCATGACCTATTCATTGGAGGCCATGCATATGTCCTCTGTGTTGAAAAGGATAAAAATTCGTGGAAACGTATTGATGAATAATTGTATAAATTGTTGAAAATGTTGTCTCTAGTCCTTAGCAACTTGACTTTACGCTCTTTGATGGACATGCTATAACCGCTGACTGTAAAGCTGTCAGAGTAGTAAGAAACTAAAAGAAACAACAACAATAATTCTGCACAGCTGAAGATTGTTTTCAAATCATAGTTAGCCTCTTTGGAGGATTCAGTCTGAGCTAACAGATGCTAAAGTGATTTCCATTTAGCCATTCATTGCAGGTAGCCAAGCCACATAATATTCCAGGCAGTATTACAATATTGTAACTAATCTAAATAAGAGCCCAAATGTAGGTTTAGTATGCCATCTAGAGCCAGGGAATAAAATCTTCAGTTTATTAATACCAAAAATAATAATGATAATAAATAAGTAAATAATAAGACTATAATAATAATAACAACAATAATAGTAATACATATAACGCAAGTAAAGTGACATACAGAGTAAGTTGCGATATTTACACAGACAGCGTGAAGCATTGAGTCAGCTTTCAACCTTGTGCAACATGAGTCAATTAACTACACTCGTCTGAACGATCATTTTTATATCCACTTCTTTGTATTGCATCATGTACATAAAGTGTAAATATGACACCACTGTTTGTTTTACACCTGATAATGTTTATTGTTGACAAATTTTAAGAAGTATGTAAATGGTTATTTTGCTTTGTTGAGTGGATTCAAAAATTCTACTGATGTCATATGTCCCTCTATCTTTTGCAAGCAGAGGATGGGCATTTTGAGAATCACCTTATTATATGATCATGATAATAGTAACAACTATTTTCATGAACAGACTGACAGTGCAGCTGTGCTACATGGTTTAGCACATCATAATATTACAACTTCTTTTGACTTTGGGCAATAGAATCTGGTTCTAGATTTTCCTCTAGATTTCTGCTTGTCTTTTCTTTCTCTCATCATGTACCAGTAATTAAGTACTGTTGTTGACTAGGTCCCAAAGAACTTGCTTTGAAAGTTTGGGACTTAGCCCACACCATGTCACAAGTATTTCTTATTTCTAACATTTGGAGACAGAATTATTAAAAGTCAGTCTTAACACTTTTACAGCCTGTATAACAATCTGAATTTATAACAGAATGTTTGTTTACTGCCAATATTATTCACTATGTCAGAAAGGGTCATTGGCTGGAATCAGTCAAATCCATAGGACTTAATGATAATAAAATTGTTCTAGAAATCGTTCTAATATGAATGTTTCCAAGATTGGACTCAGTCTTTAATCATTGTTAACTTTGGAACTAATTGAGTTTCTCCTTCCATGTTTTCCATATGGATACGTTTGAAGAATAAGTGAATTTTAGTTGGTGGTGTGTTTGAATGTACAGATTACTGTGGCAGACAATAGCCATCCGCCTGTTTGTTGGTTCCCTCCCCCCTCTGCATTTCCATGGCTTCTGTGAAGACGGTCCAGTAGACCCTTTGAAAGAAGAATCCATGCTATTCGCCCAACCATCTAGAACTTAGCCAGAGCAAGCAATTTCCTCTTCCTGCAAGGCTGGCTCCCCTCCCCAAAATCACTACACAAACCACAGATTCTGTCCAAGCGATCCTTGTGGAGATATCAAACCGCCCGCCGCCGCTCTTCATCTGCCACGGTTTCTCTCCACCGTGGACCGAAGTGTGTGCTTTTTTCAATGCCAATAAAACTTTTAAAATGATTGTGAATGTGTGAGTCATTGTCATGAATAGCAACAACAATGCCCAAGCGAAAAGTCCTCCAAGAGTTCTTTCCTTTATTTATTTATGCTTCTTTGTTTGTTTCACAGAGTCAGGCAGTAATATGGGATTTTTTATTGTTTTTTTAATTGATTGTATTTAAAAACTCCTTGGCTGTGCTGTATGATGCATCTCCTGCCTACCATATGAATACTACTTCTGTGTTATACCCCTTGTGTTATATCAGGTCGAATGGGCAATAAAATGAAATGAATGCCATTAGCCATGCATCTTACACATTGTTAAAATAAGCAATTTTCAAATAAAACATTCAGTGACTGATGTCATTTATTTTAGCAATTCTTCCCAGTGTGGACATTTATTCACTGTGAATCGTTCGAGGCACTAATTAGTGTCAAGTGGTGAGTACAAAACGTGTAAGATTACACATATCAGTGAAGTACAATTCTTCAAGAAATATGGGATCTCTGTATGTTATATCAATTTGCAGGCCACCATGACCCATACAAAAAATGTTCAACTTAACTATTTTAAACATTATTACAATACATACACCACCTGCTTTGATATTTAAAAACTCTGCATCTTTCAAAGAGTGTATTTATGTGCTTCATATGATTCTCATAATAAACAGCGATTAATTCCCTAAACATCATTACCTGGCTGTTCTCTAATGGAGAGACTGTGTTTTCAGTGAGGTAGGAGCTGAATGCCTGAATATTATTCAGCTTGTCTTCATGCTTCAGAGAGTTAATTCAGGTTCAGAAAATTACATAAATACTTTTATACATACATACATTTATGGTGCTTATTAACAAACTGCAAAATATTGTCTCTTTGCGATAGTCTGACATATTGCTACCAACATTTCAGAGGCATATGCTGTTACCATCTTCAGAGTATAAAAGTTCTGTTTTAACATGAAGACTCGGACAGCAGGTTTTTTGAAACATTGGTAAATATCTACCAGACTATCCTGTGTCACATTGAATTGAATTGATTTACCTTCCGTAAATCCAGTACATCCCAGCGGGCTGTAATCTTTGTTGTCACTGCTGTGAGGACCTCAATTGTGGGAGGTTAAATTACATACATAATTTTCATTTAATCTGTACAAGCTTCTCTTCGGTGGAGAATGAAGTTTAAAAAGGGAAAGTTGTACATTATAATCTATCAGCTCCATAACCCTTTGTAATTCATAAATGACATTTACAAGTTCAGTCTCTTCTGCAAAGAAAATGCATTGCAATTCCAACACAAAGACCAATTGGCTAATTCTGTTCAGGGAAATAATTGCTATTTATTACACCACCATCTTTGAGCCAATTGTCTAGATAATGTTGGACCCTCAACATCTCACAACCCTATAGGCCTTCACAGCCTGGTACAGGGATACAAGGATAGCTTTACTTTTTTTTTTTTACTTTGTGAGAGCAATATGACACACATAAATACACTCTATGGGCAAAATGGAGAATTGTTTAATGTTAAAGCAGGTGGTACATATAGAAACCACTGGTTAACTAACCAAAATAAAAAATATGGCTACATTTCAGAACTCTATACAATTATTTCATTTATAAATACTGTTACTAAGGCTGTACAGCTTGACTTACTAGTCAGATATGATTTTTGAGGCTGGACTCGTGGACATTCATCTGTCAACTCTGAAAATATATTATGATTCCAAGCATATACCCAGGATTATATAGAGATTATGATGATGGGGCATTGTTGATGTTAGCTCAGTTAGAAAATACAGTTTCCAATATATTAATTTCATAAGTAGTTTTTATTTTGGTACAACAGTATGAAAATTTAGAAGGATAGCATCAACTGATACAGAGTAAATTGCATCATAAAACCGAAATAATCTTTTGGAATGAAGGCATGAATATGTAATAGTGACCAACTGCATCACAAAAATCAAGTTTTTGTTTTAGTAATAGATGAATATGGAAAGTGGGATCAAGGATACCTTAGTGAGTATAATGACTACACTACAGGCTGGATAACCAGGGAATCAAAGTTCGATTCTTGGCAGGGTGAGGAATTCTGTCTTCTCCATAGTGTCCAGGCCAGCTGCAATCCATTTGGTACCAGGAGTTCTTTCCTTAGGGTGTGAAGTTGGCCACTTACCTGCATATAGTGCTGCGCTGAGGTTAAGAAGGCATGGAGCTATATCTCCACCCTCTACATCACATGGCATGGTACTTAAGTAGAGGAAATTTTACCTTTACTGTAATTATTAAATGCCAAAAGGCTAAACTTATTTACTAAGTTATCTTCAATTACATCTTCATCATCATTTTGTGTAACAGCATTTTCTTGGAGAATCTGTTACAGATAGTATTATGGACAGAACGGATTCAAGCAGCTGACAGTTGGTGAGAGTATTTTAATTTAGCACACAGGAGAATATTATGCTTGTTGCCACCCTACTTTGAGAATTCATTCATTCATCAGTAATCTGTCAGATGACAGGTCCACAGCCTCTTCCAAAACAGTTTCTCCACTTAATGCGATCTTCTGTTTTTGGAAAGAGACTATCCAGGAAAAGTGATAATGTGGTAGTTTTTCCATTTGCTTTCCACATCGCAGTACAACAGCCGTTCAAACCACTCTGGTCACGCCTGTTGCTATACGAACTTTAACCATCTCGAGCATCATTTTCTCTGTGCTTCAAGTCGCCGCTGATGACGCTGCTTCCGGCATCAGTTTTCGGTGTCTCTCTTCGTCTGATGCCTACCCTTTGACCTGTCCAGCAAGGGAGGCCCTGCCAGTAGCTACGCTACCGCTGGTATAGCTCTCAGGGTCCTTGGCATACTCAAACACCCTCACCACGATAAGGTGGAGACACCAACGAGGGGAGAATATTCCATAATAAATACATAAAAAAAAGACTACAGTCTTCTGAGATTGTGTGTGATGTAGTCTGGATTATTGTTACCAATATGTCAGAAGAAACTGTTACTTCCATCTTCAGGATAGAAGAGTCAAATATATGTAGAATGGTACAGACAAGGAGAGAGAGGGCCCTGAGACACAACGAATGGATTCCATCTTAAAACTGCTGTCTGTCCAAGGAGACTTCACTGATTTTAGCACAAAGGCTGCTGCAATATAAATTAGTTTACATTTATGTATCAGAAACATATGCTGAATTTTATGTAAGATTTTATGAGACTAAGTGAACAACAGTACCATCAAGTGTGACCAATTTGTTTACTTATGCTCTATTAAAATTTTATAAGAATGTATAACACAACACACAAGTACACAGCCACACAAGAAGGGATATGTGCCACTGGTTAAATAATTAACTGCATACTTAATATATTCATAATGCTTAATTTATCTTTAAAATCTCTATTATTTATTCTCTCTGCAATCCTGTAGTATGTGTAACTGTGTGAAAATTTTCTTCTTCCTTTGTTATTTCAAATTTTAAGTGGGTCACCTAGCAACAAAGCATCTCCATCTATTTCTGTCTTCCCAAACTTCTCCACATCAAAGTTTTTACCATGTTCTTCATTCCTTTTGTGTGACATCTTTCCTCACCCATTGTTCCCATCTTGATCTTGGTCTTTCTCATGAGAATTTTCTTTTAATTTTATTTTCAAAACCTTTCCCGGGATTTTATCTTCATTCAGTCTTAAAACATGTCCTTAATATCTAATTATTATATATTAATATATCTTCCAGTGTATTCATCTTTAAAATTCCTCAAGTTTCTTTAGTATTTATTGATCTCTCTTCGACAATTGACATGTACACATATATTATTTCTCGAATATGTTTATACAGCAGAAATGTGAACATATATTAGATATCTTAATGTATAAAGTTAATTACATTTGGGCATGATACTTCTGAAATCAGATTACTAAAATTCTGCACAGATATAAACTGCAAATTTTAACATTGTCACCATCTTGTTTTCCCATCAGGGTTACTTCATTTAAATAACCATATACATTTATCATATTATTAATTTTCCCCTATAAGAAAGGTTTCAATCGTATAATTTATGATCAGATTTGTCCCTATAAAATACATAATTGAGATTAATCATACTGCCATTTTAATAATATCACAATTGTTACCAGTTGTATCCAAAACAGAACATCCGATTTTTTCATTTTGTACAATTTGAGTTTTATTTGTGTGTGTGTGTCATTTCTATACAACACCCAGGACAGAGGATCAGAGACTATACTTTGACTGTGTGAGCCTGTCAGAAGATCCATAGCTGGAATCCTGTGAGACAGCTAACCCTTGCGCTTACTGGCAATAATCAGAACTTTTCCTGTAATGAAATATTGTTACCGTTAACATGTACCAACTTGCAGAATAAAGTGACAGTAAATGACAGCATTGCTGGGATTTCTAGCAATCATTATACAAGTGTGCAGTCTAAGGGTTCCTGGTGATGGTGTAATTGTAATTGTAATTTATTTCAAGTTCCAGATGATCCAATAAAACTGGTTACAAACCATAGGATATAGAACATGTCAAATATGTCACAGCCATAACTAGGGCTATTGTTTTCAACTGTATCCACCATATTAAGTTTCTTTAAACCACGGCAGAACCAGTTTTCGTAAGTAGCTCTGAGGACAAAATGATAATATGGAATTTGGTAGCTCATGGCAGTTCATGTGAAGTTAGATGTCAGTGGAGGCCATGCCATAGCTCAGGTACTTAGTCATGGATTGGCCACACCATAGCTCAAGCGGTTAGTAGCTGGCTTCCCACCATGGCAGCCTGGGTTCGATCCAAGGTCTGGTCAAGTGGGATTTATGGTGGACAAAGTGGCGGTGGGGCAGGTTTTCTCTGAGTACTTCGGTTTCCCCTGCCAATCTTCATTCCACCAATTGCTCCACAATCACCCTCACCTATCATCTGGGGCTGGTACAGTAGGCCAGAAGTGGCCACAGTACAAGAGGCTTAGTCCCACCCCACTAGCAAAAAAAAAATAGTCATGGATTTCTCAAGACAGAGGTCTGGGTTCAACCCCACGACCATCCATGTTGGTTGTGTGGTGGACAAAGTGTCAAAAGGACACATTTCTTCACTCAGCACTTCAGTTTTCTTAAGAATTATCATTCCAGGAATGCTCTGTATTTTTCTGTCATCAGGGGCTGGTATAGTGGGCAGACCTAACATTGCAGTACCTAGGTATTCAATCTTACTGATCTCATACAACTCAAAGTAAAAGCCCCCCCACCCCCACCCCGAGGTCAAGAAATATATGTAAGGAGAAGGGCAAAGAAAAGCACTGCCAGATATTTAGGTGGCATGGTTCAGAATTTGAGGGTCACATATAGGCTGATGTCTAATTACAGAGTTCATGATGAGAAGTGCATCGAGGAAGGACATGGACCACTCCCACAGAATAAGGATGAAAATGGATTCTAGAAATTGATAATATGACTGCTAATAATCGGGTAAAAGGTAAAGTTATCCCTGTAATAGGCCATGGAGGTCTGTGGGAGCCACCCACAGGCCCATAGGGTTGTAAGACATCAAGGCTTCCACATTCTCTAGACAATGGTGGTCAGGTTGTCAGCCTTACATGCGGGCCGCCCTTTAGCCCCAGGAACATTCCTGGTACTCATTTCTGTTAGAAACTGAGTTGACTCCAGGGCCACAGTGTGGCTGGAAGGACTAGATCAATTGAAAAATCTAATACACATATCAGGAATCAAACCCACTGCTTTCTAGCTTGTAGCATAGTGCCTTAACCAACTATGCTACTGCATGCCCCACTTCTGTACAGCAAAACAAAAAATATGCCCCAATCAAACGTGATACATTAACTAATTATTTTACAAAACGCTAATGTTCCTTGAATGGCATGTACATTAAATGATAATATATTTCCTAGTTACTTAACCACAAGAGCCCAGATAACTCAGCTGGTACAGAGGCTGACCTCTATGGGGAAGAACCAAGAAATTATGATTTTTTCCCTGGCAAGGACAGGAGATTTCTCCATCCTCTGATACCGGCTCTGGGGCTAAGGCAGCCTCCTATCCAATGGGTAACACACCTCAAGCGGAAAGGAAAGTAAATCTTTTAGGTTATTAGCTGCTATACTTGACGTACGGTATTTATAGAGTTATAATGTCTACCTAAGTAACAAGTTCTCCTCAGAATGATGATAATGATTATGACTGCATGTACCATGCTTAAAATGCGTAAATATACGTATAAATATCGATCTTGTGACTATCTGCCTATACGCACATCACTATAACCCATCAGCTAAATATCACTACACTGTAATTTTATAAACTTAAATTACTTAAAGAAAAATATAATCTTAAAAACACGAGACTTATGAGACTGTTTCTGTAAGTGGAAGAAAACCGGGCTTTATCTGTTTTGTCTGCACGCTCGCATTTTTGGAGCTTTATCTTTACATATACGCTTAACCAGGCCATTCTACATCAACGAATGTGTGACTGAAAAGTTATACATACATTAATGAATTATGGAAACCGTACATTAACTGTATTAACTTTCCAAAGTTGCTAACGATTCTCTCCAATATGCTCTTAAGTCGCCCCCACATGTGAACATGTTCACTCTACGCTGAGACTGGAGATTCATCATAAATTGCTACCGTCAGAGTTTACACTGCATAATATTTAAATTCTTATAGTCAGCTTCTCGAGGTTTGTATGTAAGTTATAATTAGCAGAATGATGCAAAACAGTGTCTTTCGAATATAGTATAGCAGGCTTAGATCGCCAATAGCGTATCGGCGCCGTGGCTTAGTTGGTTAAAGCGCCTGTCTAGTAAACAGGAGATCGAGGGTTCGAATCCCTCCGGTGCCTGGCCCGAAAGGCAAAGATTTTGTGATATGTAATTTTTTTTTCGACTTAGCTATGAACTTGAAAAATGTGTGTACAGGATGATCCGAAGGCCTATGGTCAAACTTTGAGTGATAGATGAAAACAAAATTTAGAACAGCATATGTACATACATTTATTGTTCAGATCAACACCTTCATCAAGTTATGTCTGAGCCATTTTTTAAGAAAACGAAATAATTATCCATTTATATATATATATATACACATTCAGTTAATTTCATATAACACATTTATTTACTTATTTATTTGTTTATTTTAATTACAATGATTGAAGTGCAAAGTTTCTGATGTTATTAAATAGAAACTGTAAATATTAGTATAGGGTATTCATTCAATCATTCATGTTTATTCAGCCTATAGATCAGATTACATTGATGTAGGACATGTCACATGATATAAATTATAAAATTAACAAAAATACAATAAATTGTTAACCAATAAACTAACAAAATATGTAATGATTGTTTACATCTAGCATGTATCATTATCCAGTACTGAAGAATTTATCATTCATATAGTCTTCAATTGAGTAGTAACACCCATTCGAAGCTTTATGTCATGAAGTTTTGGAAGTGACTGTAAACTCTACACAAAATAATTATTTTGTAATTATTAAGAGTTTTGGAACCACTGCTCTAAGGTGTAAACTTTCTCCTTCTGCCAGAAGGTACTAGAAGTTGCTGAGGCTAGCCATAGCATAAAATTAATCTCAAAGCAAATTTTAAGTAACTAACTTCCTGAGTTTAACAGATATGGCAGTGATTTACATGAGAAATGAAAGCCATCTACTGTATTTTTCTTTATTGAATTTTTCAGGAGGGTGCTGCAGAAGACACCTGGGTATACCTGAGTTTTTTCAAGATTACTAAACCACTTTGATAGTTTCAACAGCATGTAAAATTTTGTCTGTGATTTTGTACAAGACTTTATTCACAGACCTCACCACATTAGAATAGTATTACTTCCAAATTAAAATAATGAAGTTGTTCATAATGACAGTAAAATATTTATGTAATTTCATGAATTAAAGTGTATATACATCTTGTGTTTCTGTTGTTGATATGACTGTAAGATTGATGACATTCAGTTTTTGAGCCATTTTGGTGACAGTTTTGTTGTGCATGTGGCAATGAAGAATATGGCTGTGCTGTTTGCTTAGATATTCAATTTGGGTCCATATTAATTACCAATGTTTTGGGGTTTAATTTAGAAAGTGCAGTCTATACTTAGTATTATTTTGAATGTTGTAATACAGTTTGTTTGAACAAATGTTTTTTCTTTGGTTATTTTACAGTTATATGAGATCCTCAGATTACTTGGGAATAGTTTAAGCATAGAACTTTCATTCTGGCTTTGAGAATTAATATCCTTTAGTTTATTGTAATGTCTGTCTGCATTTGTCACATATGTGCATCTATTACATATTGTGCATGGTTGTTGTGCATAATTTTTTCCCTTTTTGAAAGTTGTAAATATGTGAATAAGATCCAGAGAATGCAATACTACTGCTTGTTATGCATCACTTATGCATTGAAATAACTGAAGAGATGTAATTTTTGTGGTTTTCAAATACAAGCAGTGGTTTTGAGGTTGAATGCAGATACATTTGATCAAAATACTTTTTATTCAAGATTTTCCAGCATCTGGTAGACTAAACGTTTATAAATACCAATTTTTTCTATCCACTGTATGGTTTCAAGTACATTTTAGTGGGGGGATTTAGAGGAAGCTCAAGCTCAGTCAGTATAGTGACTGGCTACAGGCTGGACGACCATGGGGTCAGAGTTCAAGTCCTGATAGGGTTAAGAATTTTCTCTACTTTATGTTGCCCAGACCGGCTCTGGGGTCAACCCAACCTCCTATCCCAAGGGTACCAGGGGCTCTTTCCCCAGGGGGTAAAGCAGCCGGGGCGTGAAGCTGACCACTCACCTCCAACTAGTGCCAAGGTCAAGAAAATGTGAGTCTATAGATCCACTTCCCCATATGCCTTCATTGCATAATGCTTAATTAGTTAAACACAGGGGAATTTTAACCTTTTTCCCTTTTTAAAGGAATTCTGTGTTGCTGAGAAATTGCCTCCACGTGGATATGAGTGAAGTGTTAAAAATAATAATAATAATAATATAAAATATAAGAATTTAAGCATTGAAATTCAGCGAATGTGGAACATGAAATGTTTTGTGATATCAGTAATTATTGGAGCCACGGGTACAGTCACGAGAGGGTTGAGAAAATATTTGGAATTAATTCCTGGTAAGCACTTCATAGATCCACTGCAAAAAACAGCTATCTTGGGAACATCACACATACTACGGAAAGTGCTACAGTGCGAAGCTTGAAGCCTGAGTGGTGAGGTGCATCACTGGTTCAAGAAAAGTAATCCCAGGAAATAAAAAAAACCTGTGACAAGAGATGATGATGATGATAATAATAATAATAATAATTTTATTTAACACTCATCACAGTTACAAATTGTAACTCTCAAACAAGTCACATACACATACAACTTTTCCAGTCTAATTGGCCTCCTGCCCAATCTATGGAACATCATCATAAATCACATAACATAATGATTAAACTATTTCACATACACCCATTTTCATCCTAAAATGAAGTAAGTTCTTGTGCAAAACAAGGGTTGTGAAATTGTTAATTTCTGTTTTGTGGTTTAAGGGATGGGTGGATATTTGCATGTTGTTAATGTAGTTACGCACTTTACCGACTGAGTAGTGCTGTGAGCGATGTTATGTTTCTATCTCAGGGATAGATGGCAGCGTTGCGTAACTAACCAGTATTTTTTAGATGCTCAAACATATATATGTAATCCGTGATAAATGGCGTCCGGGAGTTTAGATTTAAGGTGCTTATGCAAAGGAAAGTCATTCTTGTGTTTATACGCGAGGAGGCGAGGTTCTGTGTAGTTGTTGTGTTGTTGCATGTGATATTTCATTCTGCGAAAAGGCACATTACGATGAGGCTAACGCCGAAGGTTTCTGCGAACATTACCAAAATGGTAGACTTTTACTCCCAATTTAATCCGTCTCCGCTTTCCATCAAACAATTCATTGATTTTGGTAAGACATCTCGACATTTATTTTGCATGCATAGTTCTTCTAGTAGTGTAACATAATGTGTTTAGTCAGTTGCAGTGTCAGAATATTGATCAGAAGGGGCGCTGCCCAGTTACGTTTTCTGGAAGTGTATGTTTACGTCGTAGTTAATAGTCTCAGGCCCTGTTACGTTTTATTTTACTGACTTGGTGCTTTTAATCTTTCCGGAATTTACGGACTATAGTTTTGGTGCCCAGACAGTTCTTACAGAACATTTCTACCCCGAAGATTGAGGACAGCCCTCCACCACCCCCCCGAAACATTAGAAGCTACCTAGTGGACTACACTGTTGTCATAACCACAATCTAAGGCTTCCCGCAATAAACTGAATAGGTTGGTATAGCGGTAATCCTCTAGGCTTGTATTTGGAAGTGCTCGATTCAAATCTAGGGCTCTTCTTCAGCGCCTCCAGGCAAATGCTGACATAGTATGTTGATTAAGCCACAAAGTCTTGCATCCAACTCCTTTCTAGTGCATTCAAATAGTTTATCGTATCACTCGATGCTTTATGGTTTGAGATACCGAAATATCTATTCACATAAACCACGAATAAATAAAGCTTACATTTGTGCACGCTGTGTTCTTAATATTTTGGGGTAGTCGATCGATTTTTATAACATCTGGAGTTAAGGCGAGGTATTATTAATTCCTCCAAAATGTGACAATAACGCACAGAAGAAGTTCACCCGTTTAGGAATATCCCCCTGTCTTTATACTTAATGAAATCTGTGGAAATAATTCATGTAAATATTACTTTCTACTTCTGTATGACACCACGTAGTCTGGCAGGTCGTTAGCGACTTTTAAAATGAACTTCCTGCCTCAGTCTTCAGGGTAGACTCTTCTGGCACGAACACTGAGACTGTACATTCCTCTGAAACGTCCATAACGATCTACCAGACTACACAATCCCGATTAATTCATTTGGTGCAACACCATGTTCTATAAATTTATTAACTTTTTAACAGGTTAAAAGTCCGTTACTATGTCCATCAGTTTTAAACTTTTAAAGTTAATTAATTTATAGAACATGGTGTTGCATGTGAGGCTGTAACTAGTCAACAACAATTGAATTAATGGGGATTCTTTAATCTTACGGCAGTGATTATGATGTCTACTGGCTACTGATATATGACGCTATGTAGTCTGGTAGACCGTTACGTTTGAAGTTAATTTTACGGCGGCCCGGGTTCGATCCCGGTTCTGGTCAAGTGGGATTTGTGGTGGACAAAGTTGCGCTGGGGCAGGTTTTCTCCGAGTACTTCGGTTTCCCCTGCCAATCTTCATTTCACCAATTGCTCCGCAATCGCCCTCACCTATCTGGGGCTGATACAATAGGCCAGAAGTGGCCGCAGTACAAGGGACTTAGTCCCACCCCACTAGTAATAAAAAAAATAATTAATTTTATAGGACATAATGTTGCACTTGAGACTAACTAATCAACACTAAATAAGAAGTTGAAGAGGCTGCTGCAATATAATGTTAATTCATTTGCTTGGAAGTAAATTTTGGATTCGATTTCAAGATTTGAAGCCCTGATTATCCATTCCTCAGTCCCCCATACATGCAAATACCGACTTGTCAGTTTCTTAACATGTTTTGCAGTGTCTACTTTCCATGCTGAACTCTCTGATGGAAGGGAAGATAAAGACATGACTTGACAAACAAGTCACCTTTTGTGTTTTCCAGTTTCAAGTACTCGTTCATTTGTTGTGTCCTTATGAAACGTAACTGCTCTGTTGTTTTGAACGGGGTAGGTCAGTCGTTATAATGACTGAGCTGTAAACTGGGAGCCGGAGAATCTGGGTTCGATTTTCCAGCGAGAACGAACCCTTTCTCTTGCCAATGCACTGGCCGTGGGGTCCACCTCTCCAGGTGTTATATCCCCAGAACAGAGTGCTATGGGTGTGACGCTGATTACACACTTCCATCCAGTGAAGTTAAAAAAACTGGAGGTCAACCTCCACAAGAAAGCGAAGACTGCTATGTTAAAGCCAGCCGTAGTGCCAGTCCTTACAATTTCGGCGCGTTATTGGCTAAATCACAGTAAATGGTAAGGGTGGAGTTGTCTCTGTGCTTAATTAAGCATCAGAGCATGAAGACTGGGCGAACGGATGCATTGTTCCACGTATACGTTACTTCGGCACTAAATAGAAGTAGTGGCTTCACGCTGTGGCCGCTTTGCCCATAGTGTGGACGTTGTGGATAAGAGAAAACTGTCTTGTCTCTGCCGGAAATCGAACTCAAACTCGTCGGTCAAAGTCAGGGCTGGAAATGAGGTTAGACGCGGATAGACACCGTCTACGTAGGTCGAGAGGGCGTCGTTTTGAGGGAGCTGTTTGCAGAGCTTGAAGGTGCAACTGTCGTTGCGAACAGCCACGAGCGTGGGAAGGAATTGTTCGAGACTGCTTTGTTATTCATAAGTATCATACATCTAGTTCTGAAAATCCATTTGCATTCCCGAGTGAAGTGTAGACCCACCAAAAAGTATTTCAAGATAAAGTTAATAGAAATTTGAGATACCTGTATTTTATGCCCTGCAGTGTTGATGGACCGTATTTCTTAAGAAGTCTGATGAAGTTTGTTACATTTTTCAACTGTTCCACCTATGTAGCTCCAACAGGAGTTTACTGAGAACCAATAAAAACTAGAATGGGTCCCTTGTCACCATGGCATTTGTTGCGGATGGAGGAGAAGGCAATGGGTGGTCCTCCAACTTGGTGGTTGGGCGTGGGTCTACTAATTCCTAACCTTAATTTTTTTTTTTGCGAAATGTTAAGACAGGGCTTCGGACTTGGACGGATTCATCTGGCTCAGGATACGGACCAATGGATGGCTCTTGTGAATATGGTAATGAACCTTAGGGTTCCATAAAGTGCTGCGAAATTCTTGAATAACTGTACAACTGACGGCTTCTCAAGAAGGGCTCAGATCCATGAAGTCAGTTATTTAAACTTATCGACAAGTGTTTCGATAAGCACACGCACACACACAATTGAACCCAAGCACCTTTAAGTGAAACCGGTGATTAACTGTGTATACACGAACTCACCATTGTGAAGAAAGTCGTCTTCTGGGTTTAGGCGCCCTGTATTCTTCGTTTTGGCTGACGTTTCGGAGGAACGTATCGCCTCCATCTTCAGAGCAGTTGAATGGCTTTGAATGCAGAGAGCAGTAGATGCTGCTCTCTGCATTCAAAGCCATTCAACTGCTCTGAAGATGGAGGCGATACGTTCCTCCGAAACGTCAGCCAAAACGAAGAATACAGGGCGCCTAAACCCAGAAGACGACTTTCTTCATAGTCATCGCCGTGAAAACCTCAAAACTTACGTATCACCATTGTGAGTTTGCTTCGTTTGTTTTCTGGAAGTTAAATGTGCATTTTCTGTGTGGCTTGCAGGAGATGACAAAGCCGGTTTGAATTTGACTTGTCTGCGTAAAGGGGATGTCAGCTGTGCCGTGCCCCCACACATGCGTAGTCGCGTTTCAAAACAGATTCATGGCGTGTGATAATGTCGGTTCGAATGTTGACCCCAGCAGATTGCATGGAAGACCACAACAAACATATGACGCAACACGTAACACGTTTCGCATTACGTTACATTGAACCATTGTTGACGTTAAGATAGGTCAGCACCTACTGATTGCTGGGGCACGCGGTTGCGTAGTTGGTTGATGCAATGTGCTACAAGCCGGAAGGTCGCAGGTTCGATTCTCGAATATATCATTGCATTTTTCAGTCGTAACCCTTCCATCCTGAGGGGCACGCTGTAGCGTACTTGGTTGAGGCACTATGCTGCAAGCCGGAAGGTCGCGGGTTCAAGTCCCGATGAGGTCATTGGATTTTTTTTTTCAGTTTACCTAATCCATCCAGCCGCACTATGGCCCTGGGGTCGACTCAGCCTCCAGCAGAAATGAGTACCAGGAATATTCCTGGGGGTAAAGATCGGCAGGCCCGTAGAGCTGACAACATTACCGCCATCTATGAGCCGATTGTCTAGAAAATGTTGGAGCCTCGACGTCTCACAACCCTATGGGCCTCCACAGCCTGTTACGGGGATACCTTTACTTTTTACTTACCTCCACCCCCCTTGGAAAAAGATTTGGTCGTCGTTCCACTCCCCCATACGCCTTCATGCGTAGTGTTTAATTAGTTAAGCATAGGGACAACTTTACCTTTACCAAGGACAAGTTTTCCTTTTCGTTTAGGCATTCAGAATGCCTGCGTACTCCGCCAGAACAGTGTTCACCGTGCCGCAAGTCACATTTCGGAAAGCGAGGCGCCCGTTTCGCAGTTATTTGGATTTCAGTGCATCTCGTGATGCTTTCCCCCCGGATCGGCTCAACTTGACGTCAGAGCCGTAGCACAATGTTGGCAGAGCGACCCGTCAGGTGGGACCGTGGCTGTGCTGTGAAAATAAACTTCAGATGATCGCTATGTGCGCTCTATTTACATTCTTGGAGCCTGCAGGGTGGAGCTAGGCGCCTTCTCCCTGTTGCATCTTAAAAATGAAAGTCCAAATTGAAAAGAATGTAGGAAATGCACCAGAAGTTAATGCTAGCTTTAAATAAATTCATTTTTCTTTCCTGACTACAAATGCATACGAATACTCTTAAACTTCTTAAGCCGAAGTCAGTACTCAGATTTTCTCGCTGCCGCCTTCACCCCGGGCACGCGGTAGCGTAGTTGGTTGAGGCACTATGCTACAAGCCGGAAGGTCGCGGGTTCAAGTCCCAATGAGGTCATTGGATTTTTTCAATTGACCTAATCCTTCCAGCCGCAGTATGGCCCTGGGGTCAACTCAGCCTCTAACAGAAATGAGTACCAGGAATTTAGCTGGGGGTAAAGGGCCATCTGGCCGGTCAAGGTAGCCGAGCGGTCTAGGGCATGTACTGTCTTCGCTCGCTTGGAAACCGGGATCGTGGGTTCGAATCCCACTCAGAGCATGGATGTTCAGTGTTTG